GGGGTGTCCCCTCCCGTCGGGTCCCGGGGGGGGCTGGCACCGCTCCCGGCAACCGCGCGGTGTTTTCCGCGCCGCACCCCGCTGCCGCGCAGCAGCGCGCACAGCCCGCGGGCGGCTCCGGGCTTGGGATTTCCATTTCAGCACTTCCATTTCCATAGGCGGCCAACAGAAGTTAGGCGCTGGAATCAGCGTGTCATCTAGAGCTTGGAAACTCCTTCTACCTGCTCCAGCCACAGAAAAGTTGTTGAGCAGTGCCTCCTAATGCCTGCGGAAAGGGGATCCCGCAGGTCTGGTAGCGTGCCAGTACCATTTGCATACCGTGTAAATAGTGTGTTGGTGTCGGGTGTGGAGAAGTGACACGATTTTAACTGCACGGACTCCTGCTGGCAAGCCTGTCCCAGCAGCAGCGACAGAATTGGAGTCCTCTTCAGAGAAGACATCTGTCAGGCTAACACCGACTAAATCTTGAGCAGGCATCAAATGGGAAGAAGAGCGGTTTATGGAGCTAGCATTTCCTGAGACAGCAATCTTTGGTGATTATTAAAAAAGCACGTTAACATAGAATGGAGAAAGAATAGCCTGCCCAAGTCAGCGGTCATTTCCGAATTGAGATTGGATATGCTCAGAGTACACAGTAGAATATTTCATTTGAAGTGTTTATCTAGTTTTAACCTAGAATTAATGGTAAGTTTTCAAAAGTTTCTGCCAAAGTAAAGATGAGCTATTTAGGTACAGAAAGAATTTCAGCTGATCCCCAATTCCACTGTACAGGGGGGTTTCAGTGTAGGACAGGTAAATATCTGATCTGTTTGTGCCTCTGCATCCAATCAAAAAAAATAGTCTTATAATTTTCTTTTACACTGCTGATGGATTAATTACAGCTTTTTGCATTTCTTGATTATTAGCATGCTGAATTACCTTGGAGTTCTACTCTCTGAGCTTCGTCAGACTGTTTTATATGCATACTGGAATAGTCTCTTCCTCTAAAAGGCTATGATTCAAGCAATAGACAAGCAGTGAAAGGGAGGAAGCCTGTAACAATAAAAAAAAAATCAAGGACCACACTCACTGAGAGGATATTTTTTTATATCACCTAGTGGTGATCAACCAAAGCTGCTTCCACAGGCTACGCATTTAGCAAATAGGGCCAGGAAATTAAAATGTTATGGCATATTTCCTCCTTAGAACAGATGAGAGGTTTAGTCTCCTGGGGAGAAGCCCTGGAAAGTGTGAAAGAGCGGTCTGTCATAGCAGTTACCTACCTTATGGAAAACACTTCTGCTCTTCGCCTGCCTTGGGCTCCGTCACAGTCCACCGTTAGTCATGACAGGAAAGCTTTAGTGGATGCCGTGCATCCCACTGTCTTACTGATAGTTGTGCAGAGACGAGAAGACTCTTGGGCCTAATTAATTTTCTTTACCACCCTGGCACTGTGCACCTTTTCTCTCCATCCCTGATCTCAGCTTTTGAACTTGCCCTTGTGTTTAAGCAAGGCCAACTATAGTGGAGAAATGCCCTTTTCATCTCTTCCTTTACACTGGCAATTTGGAAGTGTATTGCTGCTGACATTGACCTCTGTATGGTTTGGGAAGTCTTTTCTATGAAATTCAGAGTTTAATAATTTAAGCTCATTAATAACTTATGTCCATAACCCATAGGAAAGTGTGTGTTTTATTAGTCTTGCCCATTTCCAGCATAGTACCATCTTCTGATTTGCCAGGTGAGAACTGGTTAGCCATGGACCGTTAGCGCATTGAGTGGTAGGTTTCTAAAGCTCAACTGCAAACCGCACTCAGTCTTTTATGGCCTACCTCATTTGCATTTCTAAATGCTTGAGGGTAAACACAAGCTGTTGTCATAATTCTGAGAAAACCTGTTTCTTCATAGGGAAGCTATGGAAAATAGTGTTGGTCATCCCAGCTCTTCACAGGGTTTGGTTCCACCCACTCAACAGGATTGTCCTTTACCAGCAGGACTATATGTGTACGTGAAAATAGCAACAGTTGAAGCATAATTGACACCTTTCCAGTCTAGTGTGAATGGAAGAGTCTCACCATCTTCTGCAGGTGAGAAATGGCTGTTAAGTGTTGTTTATTCTGGAATTTTACAGAGTATCTGCTGTACTTTCTGTAGCTCCAGGTGTGAGAAGAATGACCCCACTCAGTGTGTCAGTAGCTTGGCTTCTGGCTGGAACAGCCAGAATTGGGGAATATGAAGAATCAGATCCAGCCTCAGCCACTGAGGTTGCTGGGGTTAAAAAGTCCTCTGCACCAGCTTGGAAAACCAAAAAAATTATCCTATGAAACCATCTAAGCTGTGAAGACAAACACCAGTGTGTACATAGTAGAAAGATAACACACTGATCCCATCTAATCTGTTACAGACTCTGGATGTGCACAGGCCTTTGCTGGCGTGGAGGCACACTCTGTAGCATCAGCGCAGTTAACTCCACTCCCCCTGGTCTTTTTTGGGGACGTAGAGTAATAGATAGCAGCTTTCTTAACCTATTTTAGGCAGACAGAAATAATAATAAAAAAGGAGGTAAAATGCAAGTATAATCAATCAATAAGCTTAAAAGGTGCTCTCAAGCTTCCTTAGGTTTTATTTACAGAAGTACTTGATTTTAGAGACAGAACAAAAAAAAAACCTTGCAAACTTGCAAGATCTACAGAAAATTATGTTCATTACTTTGATATTACAGAAGCACATTGATATAACTAACTCCTTAAGAGATCTTCACTATCTTTGATACCACAAAATGTACTAGGTGTTATTCTGTGACTGAGAACCCATATATTCTAATCTTGTAGCCCAACCACAACTGACTATTAATACTTTAATATTGGATCAAAGTATGTGTTTTGAATTTCTAATTGAGCCTTCTCATGCTTAACAGTTAGCAAAGTGACTGTTGGTTTCTTTTAAGCACCGTACATCCTTTGTGCTTTATACAAATGACAGGGAGAACTTCTGTGGTTATTCAGTATTACTAATCAGCGAGTAAGTGAATGACTCAATCAAGACTTAGGTCCACAGGGACACCTACACCACTATGGAGCTGCTTTTGTTTCCTTGAGCACCGTCAGAGCACAAGATTCAGCTGTATTTTTTTCTTTCACATGATCTGGCTCTAAAGATTAATTTGCAAAAAGCAGTTTCTGTGTAACTGTTTGGTTCTCCGTAATATATTAGTACAGACTGGCATTTTAGGGATAGTGATGATATTATATGGTAAAATCACTGACTGGCTAGTTCATTTGGCAGACTGATTGGCAGACTAGCTGTGGGTAAATGCAATATTCTGCATAAATAGAGAGATCTCAAAATTAAATATATATATATAATTTAAATTCAATTATTTATTGAATTGACAGTATGAGTGGCCCAGTACCTCATTATGATGATTCCTTAAAAAAACCAGCCAGGTGGCTTCAAACTATTAGAAATCTGTTCAAGAAGTGCCAGTGAAGGAGGCTAGAGTTGCACAGTTGTGAGATTCTTTTGCCCAGATGGAGCTATGGAGACAAGCAGGTAAGACAAAGCTGGAGTGTAGTCTTTGTTTTCACTGGAAGGAAAGTGAGCTTTGTTTATCTGACTACCATCCTGGTCTGAAATCCTGATGGAGAGAAGGAATAGCAGATTTTTACTGAAAGCCTGAAACTGCTTCTGTCTATTGGTGTCTTTGCTGGTTTACTTTGCAGTAAAATGGCAGTTTTGTTCCCATTAGGATTGTACAGCAGATACTTAGCAAGCAAAAGATACTCTGTTTTACTAAGAAGTCTTTGGGAAGGAAGACAAGCCTAAAATAGAAAGTTGCACTGATGCTGTTAAAACTCGATTGGAGCCTGTAAAAATGCAGTTGTAGCTGCTAAAAAATAAATGTCCATTTCTTGACTTACGTGAAAGCTTCTTGCTAGTACTCCTTCAATATA